GTAGACCTGTGATTTCCCCAAAGCATCATCATTAAAGGCTTGCCGAAGCATCCCAACAGTCTCGGCTGCAGTTTTCCCTAACAGAAAGCAAAATTTCATGCACACTCTTTGTTCCTTCTGGTCGGCCATCTCACCAATCGCCAAAGGGTTGAAACAGGAACGCACACAACAGAGCACCACAGACAAACCACTTAACTCAGACTGACACCAGTTCACTAACAGTCGCGGGAGACCCCCAGCTAACACCACCTAGCAGCACAACTCGTAATTACAAAGCATGCGCGCGCAACAGGTCGGTTCCGGTTATTTTTGGGTCCCCCTTTGTATATGGTGCAATCCAAAAGTTCCCGAAATATATTAATAAAAACTATTACATCTTACCTAGATCTTATTCTGCACCATCACCTTCAAAGTAGTTGCCTTGGGAGCGCATACACCGATCCCAGCATTTCTGCCACTTTCCAAATGCATCTTGGAAGTCTTTCTTTGTTAGGGTGTTTAGTACCATCTGCATTTCTGCTTGAATTTCCTCAACTGTATCAAATCTTCGCCCCTTCAACTTGATTTTCATCTTGGGGAAGAGAAAGAAGTCGCATGGAGCTAAGTCTGGTGAGGAGAGTGGGTGGGGAACAACTACCATCTTGTTTTTAGCCAAAAATTTCTGCACAATGTAAGCCGTATGCGGTCGTGCGTTGTCATGGTGGAGTACTCAGTCGCCACTTCTCTGGACGTTTTTTCCTCATGTTCTCCCTCAAACGCCTTAGAACATTGTGATAGAACTCTTTATTGACTGTCTGACCAGGAGGGACGAACTCCTTATGAACAATCCTGTCAATATAAAAAAAAAACAGATCAACATGGACTTAATGTTGCTCTTGACTTGTCGAGCTTTTTTTGGCAGAGGTGAAGAAGGGCTCTTCCATTGCGACAATTGCCACTTGCTTTCAGGGTCGTAGCCATAAACCCAACTTTCGTCACCAGTGACAACCTTCGAAAGAAAGTTTGGATCCTCTTGAAGCTGTTGCTGAAGTTCCCTGCAGACTTCCAAGCGATGCTGCTTCTGTTCAATTTGCAGCAGTCGTGGCACAGACTTCGCCGCAATCCTCCTCATGTTCAGTTCCTCTGACAAAATTCGTTGACATGTATCATAACTTAGTCCCAAGGTGTTACAGAGGTCTTGGATGGTCAGTCTACGATCTTGCAGAATCAGATCCTTAACTTTCGCGACATTTTCTGGTGTTTTGCCTGTTGACGGCCGTCCTGAACGATCGTCATCATCAGTCAATGTTCGGCCATTTTTAAAACGCTTATACCAGTTGTAAGTTTGTGTCTGGCCTAAACTGTTTTCACCAAAGCTTGCTTCAACATTTGGTGTGTTTCTGCAGCGGTTTTCCCAAGTTTGAAACAAAACTTTATACAGACATGCTGCTCTCTCAGGTCAGCCATCGCAAAACCACAAACTCACAGAAACACAACAATGGAAATATGTTCACCAACAATAAACCCAACCACTCAACTTGATGCCGCTTGCCACACTGATTCAAGAAGGATGTGTGAGGAGACACCTAGTGGTATTTCGATGTACTCATAATCATTCATGCGCAAAATTCAAATTTCGGAAACTTTTGGATTGCCCCATGTGCATACCAAGTTTCATAAAGATGGGTTCATTCAAACATTGTTAGTGGGGGACCCTTGCTGTTGCATGTTAGTAGACATGGACTTTGGATTGGTAATTGGATTTATTGGACACCTATAACTTGTAACTACAGGAAACTATATTGGTTTCATGGATTTATGCACTCTGCAAATCACTGCAACGCGGCATAAATAAGATCTTTTATGTCTACATCAGTTGTTGCCTGGTAATGACCCCTATCAGTGTCCATCCCTCAGCTCCTGTACTCATGTCCTTACCAGCTGGCAATTGTCTCAAACTCCTCATGGCCGCAACTAACAAAAGCAAAGTGATCTCATAAGCCTACTTTAATTTTTTAAAACTAAGGAGGGTAGGCTAAAAATGACAGTGTGGACTTGATTAAACTGGCTGAGTATTGTATGATGAACATTGCAATGAATCCTCAGGTTCCATAAAATCAGGGAATTCCTTGAAGAGTTGTACTGTCTGGGATATAATGCCAGGTAGTCTGCTGAAAGTCAGCCAACATTTTGGAGAAGTATGTTGCCTGCATTGTAAGGGTTGAAGAGTAAGCCAAACAAAAAACACCAGCATTAAAATGGAGGTGGTATGTTCCTCCAAAATGTCAGTTGACTTTCAATGGAGTATACAGTGTTATACATACTAACATCAAGGGACAGCACCAAAAATCAAAATGTGCAGTGCTTATGGATTACAGTAAGTACAGAATTGGTGTTGACAAGTGTGATGAAATGTTGGCATATTACTCAGTCCAGAGGAAATCAATAAAGTGAGGGAAGGAAGTTTTCTTCAATCTGCATATGGTAAATGCTCACATACTACACAGTAAGAAGAGATGAAGGGAAAAATCATCCCACTAGTTCTGATCTATGAGATGTTTGCTGAAGGCCTCTTCGGTGGTGTAGAGCAGGAGTGGACCAGGAGTACTTCTGCAGACACACTTACAGATATTTTCTATACTGAATTCCAGCAACACAGATGTAAGACAGTCTCTGTGAACCTGCAAGAGCATACATGGACATTGGTAGCCAATGAACAGGAAAAGCTACAAAGAAGCTTATAACAGCGCACTGGCAGAAGTATGATGTGTGAATCTGTTTGAAAATTACCACTTGAAAATAAATTATTGGGAGTTATTTGACTGTTTAAGTGTAAGTCATTTTATCTTCATTTGTGGACAATTTTTCTGCTGTACCAGCCTCCAGATTGACAACCATGGCATCTCCTAACAACCAATAAAGAGGATATCTTTCAACAAGGCACTTGAGGAAAGGTTATATACTTTTGTATGTTCAAATTTAAAATATTTATATAAAAATTACAGAAGTTACAATTTTTTTTAACATAACTTAAAATATTTTGGTGCATGAGGTTTAAATATTTAAATACCCCAAGATTGAAAGTGTGAAGTGTTACAGTTTTCTATTGGTTTGTGACAATGGTTGATTCATTATACAGATCTTAACGTTGGGTGATCCAGTGATTGAGATTTGCTCTGACAGGCCCAACTGGGTATGATTCTTTCCCCCCTTATACCTTATGATGGAAACAGATACAGTTTCTGAAATGTGCATATCAAATAAACCCAACACAACAGATACACCAAAAGGGTTGGTATAGCAGTAACTCTGTAGAGTCGTATTTGGTTTGAATCTCTGCTGGGACACTGATTATCATGATAGGGTTTTCCTCAGTCCCTTCGTGAAGATGCTTACATTCGACACTGTATACTGTAGATACTGAGAGCATTGTAAAATATCTTCTACCCAACCCAAACTATTGGTTATGTCCAGCATAATATTCATATAACGGGAGATGTTCTCTTTGTTTACAGAATCAACCCAATGAAATTACAGTCTCCTCTACGGAAAATGGAGGCATTTTTGGCGAGAGATCCCAGTTTAAAAGAATCAGCTCAACGTGCATTTGTCTCTTACGTGAAATCTATATTTCTTATGAAAAACAAGAAAATATTCAACATACATGCCCTGGACACTGAGTTGTATTCCAGGTAAGAACTGAAATAAAGTTGTGGGGCAGAAGCTAACCAGTTTGTTCCTGTATATACATATTTCACTGCCAGTTCACAAGGAGAACCTGTGGTGAGAGGTCTTATTTGTTTCACCACTTTGTTGGTGTACACTATAAAAATTAATTGTAGATTTCCATTTTTTCAGATCTTTAGGGTTGGCAGTACCACCAAGAATCAGGTTTCTTCAGAGAGCTCAGAAACAGCGAGGACAGCAGATAACAAAACCTGAGAACTTGGGAAAGGATTCAGATTTGTGGGTTTTACCTAGTTCAGATGCACTGAATTCTCAGAAATTTAGGAACACCAGTAGCAGTGAAAGCTCAGATGAAGAAAGCAATCAGAAGCAAGGCACTAGATTGACACAGCAGTCCCTGGCCTTTGGGAATGGTGAGAATGGGTTTGCATTGTCTGTCATATTCCAGATTTTAAGACACTCTGATGAATGCAAAATGAAGTTCCTAATTATGTAATCCAAACAGTTGTTTGAAAGCTCAGACAGTTTGGATTACTACATAATTAGGAACTTCATAATCGAAATTGTTCACTGGGTTGTGAATTCAGGGGGATTGAAATGGGTTTGATATGTGGCTTGTATGGGGAAGACAAGGAATGTATACATAATTTTTGAAGAGAAACCACATTTGGAACAAAGAATGATTTATGTGGCATTTACTATCCCATCCCCTCTTGAATATTTCTGTCTGAAACCCGGTCATAAGCCCACAAGAAAATATTTTGTGAGGAAAAATGTGTACACAAGAGCCAACATTTTGCATTACAAGCATACCAAAGCATGGTGTGTTCTCAGGTTGTGGATGGAAGAGAAAGCCTGCAGATATGGAGGGTAGCTGCAAATATACTGAATAAGCAGTCATGAAGAGCCAACAAGGGGTGATCCTCCAGCTTGGGGGTTGGGCTTGGGGCCGACTCACCATAAAAAATAAGCTTGTTATAAAATGTAACATAGGGCCTTAGACTTGGATAGGTTCTTTGGATAAATGAACTCAGATAAGGAAAATGGACATGAGATTTGGTACATGAAATGTAAGCAGTCTGTATAGGGCAGGTTTGCTCATGACAGTTGTGAAGGAAATATCAAAACATACGTTACATGGAGTGAGGGTACAGGAAGTCAGATGGAACAGAGGGGGCACCAAACCAGCATGCAAATACACATTTTTCTATGGAAAGGGGAATCAGAATCATGGATTAGGCACAGGTTTCTTTGTATATAAGAGAATCATATCAGCAGTTAAAAGAGGGTGCAGTTTGTTAGTGACAGGATGTCATACATAATACTAAGAGGTCACTCGTGTGATGTCATTGTTCTGAATGTTCATGCCCCAACCGAGGATAAAATTGAGGATATGGAGGGCAGCTTCTCTTAGGAACTAGAACATTTATTCGATAAATTCCCTGAATACCGTGTGAAAATCTTGCCAAAGTAGGTAGAAGAACCAACTATAGGGAATGAGAGTTTACACAAAATTATTAATGATAATGGTGTTAGAGTAGTAAACTTTGCCACATTCAAAAATCTGTTTTTGAAAAGTAAGATGTTCACAAATTTAATTGGACATCTCATGGAAAGACACACATCAAATTGACCATGTTTTGGTAGATGACATTCAAATGTGCTTAGTGTCCAATCTTTCAGGGGAGCAGAGTGTGATACTCATCACTGGAGATAGTCAAAGTTAGGGAGAGACTGGCAGTGAGTAAACAAACAAACACACAGATTTCATATGGAGACGTTCACTTTCAATAAACTAAATGAGGTAGGGGGGTATTAGGTTGAAATCTGAAATAGGATCATAGCTTTTGAAAACTTAGTTGATGATGTGGATATTAATAGAGCCTGGGAAACTGTTAAGAGATAATATACAAATTTCAGCCAAAGAGAAGACACACCACCCACTATGGACATTATTTCAAGCAGTGGCTTGAAATGGGTCAGCACTCAGTTCTCTGCTAGTTTTGTGTCAGTAATGTTATGTCTTTTAGAAGGAATATGGTGAGTTCAGGCAAACTTATTTGCCAGAGAGGACACAGTTCATAGCAGAGAGGGATAAACTGTTTGCAGCTTAATAGTGATTTATTGTGACCAGGACACAAAAAGATAAGGAATTGTAAGAGCTGATTCAGGTGAAAACTTTGAAAATGGTGTTTGGGTCACTGGTAATGGCATGTTCTTAGTACTTAGCAATGTTTCAAAGTTATCAGTAGAAGATCATGTTTTCAGCACAGCATTTACCAAGACAGTGGCTTCAAGGCTGAATAATGTTAAGGTGAATCTTAGGGAAGTAGCTTTTGAGAGTGAGAAGTGAACAGAACTGGCTTAGGATTGTTTCCAGTGATAGTTGTCATACTGGAAACCTTTGTTTAAACATAGTTGGAATTGGTCTATTGTAATATTTGCTTTTGATGAATATCAATTTTCATAAAATTTCTCAAGAATCATATACACCAAAATCATCAATATATGTAAGTCTTACATCAAACATTTCAATATGCTATAGTATATATTTAATAAATTAAATAACATAATTCTGTGCATGGTAATATCTATACTGTTCATTAGCTTTGCTGGTACTCTACTTGTATCTTTTAACAATTAAGAAATGTATGCAGAGCATAATTCTGGCACATTCACCATTATTTCCTTTAAATCTTTTTTGTTACAAGATGACACAACATAAAAATCTCTTTTATTTAATGATCTCTAAAACCATAAAACTTACAGAAGAATTGGACTGGGCATGAAAGATGTTTTGTTTTTCTTTACTACTTTTGTTTAAAACATTTTCACTGTGATATTTAGTGAGCAAAATTGCACATACATCTTCACATAACCAAAACTGAGGCATGACTCAAATTCTAGTAAAACTCTCCAATATCAAATTTCATGAAGATCTATTCAGTGGTTTTCAAGGTTTTACATGATGGCAGACTGACAGACAGGCCTGACAAAGCTGCTAGACATATTTTTGCAGCTTTTCATTGCAAACACAAAAGCTGAACATCAACACTATGTAAAGAATGCATTTGAAAACTGTGCAGCCAAATTGAAGTTTGTTTGGATATGTTTATGAGATGCTTGTACTAAGCATCATCTAGATTAAACCATGGCAGATACAGCCTGCCTAACTAGCAGTAGCACAGTTCATTGGTGGGGGAAGGATTAAGAATAAGTTTCCAGTGATTTTTGCCTTGTCTTGTGCTAACTTCAAATTTTAAATTTCCAGATGACAGTGACAGTGAACTGGATGTACTGAAGGTAAAACGTAGAGACCATGAGTTGGAAATGGAAATTCCATCACCAGAGGAAAATTTCCATCAGAATGCAAAAAAGAAAGTTCTTACAAAAGTGGCTATGGCAAAAAAAATTCTCAAGAAGAAGATTATAGCTAACAAAAAGACATTATTCAATGATGAAGGACAGGTGTGTACTCAGAAATATCTCTATTGTTATTGTGACTGATTCAATACCTCCTGCTGTACAGTTTCACAAGAATTTTTATTGCAGGCTGTGTTGGACCATGCAAAGGAAAAAGTTTCAGATCTTGCCAGAGAATATGAATCACAGATTAGAGGTGGAATTGACATTGAAGAAGCAAAGCAAGTGCTGAGGGAAGAAGACAAGTATGACAAGCAACGTTTCAGAGACAAGATCAAAGCTAAACACAGGTAACATAGTGGTTGATGTCTCCAACTGTGGTCAGTTCAGTCTGCTTGAGCTTTGGTGAAAGAGTTCATTTCAGAGTAGGGGGCATGTGACAGACTCCACTTAGGTACACAGGTACAGTGATGACCAGCAGAAGGAAACCACTTTACGAACTGGGCTATCATAGCTCAAATTTGAACAATAAATATTACCAAATATTACTTCATCATCATCTAGGAAAATTTCCATTTTATACAGATTGATGGATGATGAGTCTTGAATCCCCCCTAATAATTTTTCCTTGTATTCTGTTCTAAAACTTTTATTTCCAATTCAGTCCTATCTTGTTTTACCCTCAATACTTCTAAAAAAATGTTACATCCATTGCTAAGATTTTCCTTTTGATTCTCTTTGTAAGGGCACATGTTGGAATGTCATGTCATATATGTATAGTTTAATATATCCAAGTACGTTCTAAAGGGTTTTGATGATGGTGCATAAAACTCAGAATTACTGGGTTTAGTTATACTGACAGGTTATCCAGTGATTGATGTTAGCTCTTTCTAAGGGACCCAACAGACTTTTATTTTGCACTGTATGTAACCAGTGTACCAAATATTTAAAACCATTATTTACTACTATTTTCAGCATGGTATGTTCTCTTTTTTCAGGGAAGAAAAAGTGAAGTTAAAAAAGGCAAGACATGAACAGAAAAAGCAAGAAAAGTCTGAATCTGAGGAGGACTTTGACAATGAAGAGGATGCTGAGGAGGGTCACCTGGACTTATCCTGGCTACCGGATCCTGACAAAGTGTATCCCTTAAGGGATATGGGTGCTGAAGACTCTGATAGGAATGAACTGTCTCATGCTGGAAGAGGCAGTGATGGCGATGGTGATGATTATGACAGTGATGATGATGATGATGGTGATGGTGACAGCTGCTTAGAGGAGGAAGATAAGAATCACATGTAAGAAATGAGCTATAGAAAAGTTCCCATTTAAGAATTCTTTAAGGAATGCTAAATTTGAATATTAAACTGAGGATAATCTTAAATTCACTTTTTGTCACAATTTCAACATTTTAATGACGACCAGTGCAGTTCTGTGTCCAGCATACATGCTTACAATATTGTATTTTGATGTATGTCCAGCTCATATATGTAGGTAAGTCAATAAGCAGGTTACAAATGGATATATATATATATATAATAAGAGTACTGGTTTGAAAAATGATTTTATTTCTCAACATAATCTCCCTGTACACTGAGGCACTTGTCCCATCGTTTCACAAGCCCCTGAAAACCAGCAGCATAAAATTCTTTGGGCTGCTGTCGTAACCATGTGGCGACTTCCCTTTCTACAGCTTCATCGTTGGGAAAATGTTCAGCCGAAAGATGATGTTTAAGAGGGCCGAACAAATGGAAGTCGCTTCAAGAAAGACTCATCACCTGTGACCATTCGGGCTAGCATATCGTGTCCATCATGGTAGTGACTGAGATGCTGTAATGCCAGACCCATTCTTTGCATTTTGTGTTGTGGGGTCAGCATGCGCGGCACCCTTCATGCACAGACTTTGTAGAAACCTAACCTATCATGCGACTTCCATTTGTTCGGTCATCTTAAACATCATCTTTCAGCTGAACATTATGTTTAAGATGGCCGAACAAATGGAAGTCGCATGATAGGTTAGGTTTCTACAAAGTCTGTGCGTGATGGGTACCGCGCATGCTGACCCCACAACACAAAATGCAAAGAATGGGTCTGGCATTACAGCATCTCAATCACTACCATGATGAAGGACACGATATGCTAGCCTGAATGGTCACAGGTGATGAGTCTTGCTTGAAGCAACTTCCATTTGTTTGGCCCTCTTAAACATCATCTTTCGGCTGAACGTTTTCCTGATGAAGCTGTAGAAAGGGAAGTCACCACCTGGTTCTGAGAGCAGCCCAAAGATTTGTATGCTGCTGGTTTTCAGGGGCTTGTGAGACGATGGGACAAGTGCCTCAATGTACAGGGAGATTGTGTTGAGAAATTGTTTAAGTTCCATATCCATTTGTAACTTACTTATTGACTTACCCACATATATTCTGCTTGGTTTATGAATGAACCTGTTGACTGTTGCTAGTTACAGATTTTTTTATATAGAAGGCATGTAAGCACAGAATTACTGAAATGATTAATTAGAGCATATGCATGTCTATATTGTCGCATGTTGCACATGTAACGTGAGAAATCAATTCATGCAGGTCTCGGATTTAGCGGATCAGTTTATTGGACACTTGCTTTTACACACATAAGTACAATTATGATTACTTATAACATCTGCAGAAACTTCTTCTTCCCTGTTATAATGACTTGCACCGCTCTCCTTGGTCAAGTGTCTTTCCCTTGTTGAAGAACTCTTCCTGCTAGAGTCAGATACAAACTAACTGTTAAAACTGTCTGGTCCCTTTGAAGCTGGACTGTTATAACCTGGTTTTGGATGGAATATAGCGCACCATGTAAGAGCCTTTGGTCTCAGCTGCTGTCATGCAACAAACCATCTGTTGTTCTTTCATCTCCGGGGAAACACGTTTGTTGCTTAAGGTATTCCTAGGCAATGGCCTACTGTTATTGCGTTTCCATAAAAGTATACCTTCTGGATTCCCAGCACGCGACAATATATATATATACCAGTTATAATAATAAGTGGACTTACTATACTTTTCATGGTCATCTTCAGGTTGCCAATACAGTTATTTAAAATTTGTAATTATACATTTTAACTGAGTCATATATATACAGAGTGATTCAGAAAGATGGACACAATTTCAATTGACTATATTTCCTGAACTGTATGTTGCATTTGAATTCTGTAAAGTACATTTGAAAGAGGATGTTACAAAGTTTCTAGTACTACTGCTAGTGCCCTCCATCACTGCGTCCCGGGCCAATCGCATGTATCGAAGGAGAACATGGAGTGCATTCGCGTGAACTTTGAGCGCAGCCCAATGAAGTCAACCCGTAGTGCTAGTAGAGAACTTGGACTATCGCAAACAACTGTGTGGCGTGTACCACCTCTTCCCACAAATTTGAATGACCTAAGAAACTGTATCACAGCTGCGGTGAACTCAGTGACGCAAGATATTTGTCATCGAGTGTAGGATGAATTCAGCTACCGTCTATTTGTTATCCATGCAGCCAGAGGGGGGGGGGCACATTGAACATCTATAAACTTCCATGTATGTATAATCAAGTGTAATTTACAGAATTCAAATGCAACATATAATTCAGGAAATATAGCCAATTGAAATTGTGTCCATCTTTCTGAATCACCCTGTATATATAATGAACTGGAAACAAAAATGTATCTTATGTACATACTATTATGATATGGCCCATAAATGTAAAATAATATTTTGAACTGTTAAAACATTAGAAGTGTCTAGAAGATCCAATTGACCAGTATTCATGAAATTTACTGTCAACAATATGTCACTGGTGGGCACCCCAAGCTGATGCATTTTGATATACTACAGTCAGTAATAAAAATGTAGAGGCAGAATCCATACTTAACTGATAATTTCTTCCTGGTATGAAATATCATGAATCAGGCTCTGTAGCATATTTACTGGTACAACTGCAAGCAATAATATCTTCTAACTGGAGGACGATACAGTGGCATGACCATGTTTACACACAGGCTGAGCACATGAACCCATGAGCTAAATTCTTTTGAACTACAAATTTACATTACCTATTAAGAACACAAGATTTGTGCAGCACAAAAGTAGAAAGATATACTGCCAGTTTCACATTCATTCATTCATTCATCAGTAATCTGTCAAGACGACAGGTCCACAGTCTCTTCCAAAACAGTTCCTCCACTTAATGCGATCTAGAGCTTTCTCCTTCAAATGAGAATGAACATTCATATGACAAATCATTTAGTTTGATGCTCACCCAAGAGCTGTGCCATATGCAAATATAAATTAACTTTTCATTTTATCATATATTCATGTACTTAACAATGGGACATTTTAATATTTAAAATAAATACCGCACAAATGAGATGTAGCTTTTTGTAGAGACCGACTTAGCTGCTTACATGATTTATGCTCTATACATTATGGTGTAGTATTGTTATAACTGCAACTTGTTTCTACCATAGGTTCCAGCCGTCAAAGAGAAAAAGATTTCGAGAAGATGAGCCATTGGATACTGGCCTTTCATTACAGGAAGACGAAGACCTGGCAGTGCACCTTCTACGAAACGCAAGATAAAGTTCATGAGTTGAAAAGTTGTAGTTATGCAGGAAGTATGTGTGTTGTTCCATCAATAAATGAGCCAACTGTTCATTCCCTTGTTACTGTTCTAAGAATTTACTGTATCCTACAATTAATATAAAATGTGTCAGGGAAATGCATCTACCAGAGGAAGCCTTCACATACACCCTGAAGGAAGATTAGTTACATTTAAACAGCAGAGAGTTGAGCTCATTGCAGGGTTACTTTGCTGTCCATCCTCATCCTACAGTTGAGGGCAGAGGGAATTATTCCTGTGGGAGTCTCTTCCTTCACACTTACCAGGTTGGGTTCAAAACATCAGAAGGCCATAACTGGAAGGATTTGAAGGAATAATTTTCTATTTAATGACCACAGATGCTAATGCACAAACCTGCTTTTAGTCAGGAAGAAAAGTGGGTAGACACAACAGGTAGTCAAAATAGGAAACTGAGTATCCGTTTGAAGTGTACATATAAATCAACTTGAAAGGAGGGAAGCATTTCCCAAAGATCACTGATTCTTAAGTGATGTAGCAACAGTCCTTACTATTCAATAAGATGGAAAGATGATCATTCACAATGAATACATTAAGAATTTTAAAGGTGGTGGTCCATTTCAAGGTACAGTACTAGTATTTGCTTGGAGAGTGAGGAAAACTATGAAAAACCTGTCAGAATAGCTAGTAACCCAGCCGAGAATTGATCTCAATATCTTTCAAGTACAAACCTAGATCATTACTATCACAGTAACTTGCTCTGTACTTCCCACATGTCCCTTTTTTAAGACCCTGCCAAAGGACAGCATGACAGTCTGGTTGGTATTATTCAGTCCTCTAATGCATATTATTCATGTGCGCAACAAATAAGTCATGTTTCAGAGAAATGCAGTCTTACCCAATCAATTAAACCATATTTTAACAAATAATAAACACAGTAATCCTATGAACATGAAATGGAGTGCAGCTGCCACTAGTTCAGGTTATATGATGACTGAAAAATGAACTGGAAAACGTGGGAGGAAGTTGACTTTGAGTTAGTCCATGATTTGCCTGAAAGGACTCACAAAAAGCATTAAAAATTAGGACCATGAATCCATTGGGGTTTTATGATAAAAGCAATCAATGTAGAATAAGGTGTATTTTGTATTGACAATCTCAGTAGCCCTTGTGTGAATACATCAGTTTATATATAAACCATTGCATATCACATGATACAATGTATTGTAACAACATTATTAGTTAAGACTCCAGGAAGAAGTCCACATAACTTTCCTCTGAAGTTTGTGACTGCAGTAAATGCTTCAGTGCAAGACTACTGCAGTTTTCAATGTGAAGCTCAAAAGACTGATTCTGTGGCATTGATTTGTCATGCCCAGGGTACTGATGGTTTTCATGGAGAAAGCGTTTATAAGAGGAAGCCACATCCTGATCCCCTGAGGACAGAAAAATTAATTTAATATTTATTCATAAATTATAACAGTGAATAACAACTGGCTTTATTCCTCACATGAGATAAAGTACCCTGAAATCTTAAATATTTATCAAATTTAACCATCACCCTACTGCCTTCCTGTCATTATATTGTCACATACGAGTATACATGGTGTGCCCAGGATCCGTTAGGACTCGTTTTTTTAAATTTTGCCCTGCAATGCCGTCTGTTGGCAAGTTGTGGCATTAAGATTCTTGAAGTTTCAGCTGTGGCTGCCTATAATTTCAAAGCGCAAGCATCACTGCATCACGTGTTCTGACCTTGAATGTAACAGTACTGTTCTGACGCTCGTCGGAAAATGGCGGTTGAACAGAGCCAACATCAAATTTTGTTTGAAGTTAGGCAAAACAGCTGGAGAAGTGTACAAAATGATGAAAAGTGTGTACAGCAGTGACTGTTTGAGTCGCCCAAACATTTTTCGATGGTATGCTCTATTTCGTGACGGCAGGGAGGACATTGAAGATGCTCCACTTGCATCAAAGCCGAGAACAAGTCACACTGAAGAAAATGTGAAAAAAGTTACCGAAATCCTTGCATCAGACATATCTGTTTCTGCAAGACTCATCAAGGAGCTTTTGGGAATACCAAAACATACTGTGCATAAAATTTTGACAGAGGATTTTTGGCAAATGGAAGGTCTGTGCGTAGTTTGTACTGCACGCGCTGTCAGGCGATGAAAAACATGCCAGAGTGGAATACTGCAAAGACATGTTATGGTCGATCCAAAGTGATATAAAATTTACAAAATTGATTATTACTGGTGATGAGACGTGGTGTTTTCAATATGAGCCTCTCATAAAGCGGCAGAGTGCAGCGTTGTTGAACCCAAAGAAGCCGAAACCAAAGAAAGTGCATGCAAAAGAGTCGAGTAAAGACACTGCTAACCATTTTCTTCGATTCCAAAGGAATCATTCGCAATGAATTTCTGCCAGAAGATCAAACAGTGAATTCTGATTATTTTCTTGGCGTCAGTCATTTGTGGGCAAGAATTCTTCGAATTCAACCTGAATATCAAGAGCAAGGTTCCTGGTTGCTCTTCCACGACAATGCCCCACCCCACAAATCGAAAATTGTGCATGATATTTTGGCCAGAAAATGGATCACAGTCCTTTATCATCATCCATATTTGCCAGATTTGGCTCCAGCAGATTTCTGGTTGTTCCCAAAAGTTAAGTTGGCGATGAAAGGATCACGACACCATCCAGGACATCCAAAGGGAATGTACCGCAGTTTTAAATGTGATTCGACAAAAGGAGTACAGTGACTGTTTTCAAAAACTTTTCAATTGATTCCAGCTATATTGATTCAGAAGGAGACTATTTTTAATAAAAAGAGTGAAATTTTGAAAATAATTCACATCTTGTATTTTTAATGAACACAGTCCTAACAGAACCTGGACACACTGTGTATGTGTGTGACTACAGACAGGGTTTGGATTGGTGACTTAATTTACTGGACACTTACACACATGACATAGAAATACAAGCAATTACAGTGCCATCGCTAATCTCCACAATTCTCATTATCACCACAGCACCTGCTAAGCCTCAGTCTTTTAGTCTTCCCTAATTGTTGCTTGGTAACAGCACTCAACGATGGAGATGTTTCAGCTTCTGGGCTCACGCCATTACCTACTGGCTATTAATACCCACAACTGAACTCACTGCTCCAGCTGTCGTGATTACAACATCTCAGTATGCACCACATAAAAAACACCATTCTTCTTTATTGTTGATTCATGTCTGTTGCTGAGGCAACGTATTTACTGATCCATTGCCCAGAAACAGTCGCTGCTTACAGAGCTGCTGCTTATCAGTGTGTCTATACATCACAATATTTCCATGTTAATGTATACTTGGTAGATCACTTGCTGAAAAGCTGTGAATAATTTCAAATATTGAGAAAGACCACGGGAAAGTCTAGAACTGATCTAAAATTCATAATGAATAGAAAGGCTAATAATGCTATGTGAGATATTCCATACATAGCATGCAGTAAGCTTTTCAGTTTGTATAGATTGAGCCCAATTACCTCAGTGTTGTTTCTCTTCTCACTTTAAATTCACTGTCCTCCAGAGAAACCTTAGATGGTGATTTCACTTTAGCATCAAGTACTGTATAAAAGCATGTCCATATACCACGCCAACTTCATATGCATTCTTTGCCAAATGTGCATAAGACACAATAGGAAGGACATGTATCATTTCCAAAGGTCTGTTTTTATTCAATTCTGACATACCACATGAAGTAAAAGTGATATGCTTCAATCACTGATTTAATTGGACAGGTTTGGCTGGGAATAGTGTGTTAAAATGAAGATCTCAGGTTCCCAATGTTGGTACAAATCTACCGAATTACAGGGCATCATATCCTTGTCAACACACTCAATGTGTTCAACTCTACACTGAAACCTGCATTTTCTCAGAAACAAATGAAATCCCACTGACCTTGGTGCAATTGAATATGAAAAACATTTTTGAACTTCAGAAGGTTTTAAAATTGCACTGTAACTGCAACAGAATGAATAAGGCTAATAAGAGAATTTCATTATCAGTCATTATAAATTTCTTAATACTGTCACATATCAGTGACTAGATATGAAGTTTGGATTGGTAACTGGATGTACTAAACACTTGTAACTACAAATGATTATAATCCTGTCACTAATCTGCACACTTTACAAATCACTACTGCAAACATTAAGGCTTCTACATCTTCACTAGCTGTTGCTAGGCAGCAGCTCTCAAGAATGGGTATTCCTCTACTTCTGTGCTCACATCCTTGCTGACAACTGGCTCACAACTAACTCATGACAGCAACTCACTCTGGCTTGTTCCATTGGTCCTCACTGTATAGCCTTGGGATGGGCTGCATAGAAAACACCACTTCAATAGCTCAAGTAGGACTATTGCCTAGTGACGGCCCACATGTTTGTTGATGCAGCCACTGCCTAGCAACAGACGACCTATTAAACTATTCTGTCTTCACGATACTTTCACCCCCATGAGTGCCTGGTTATCTATAGATGCCGAGACTGAATCACTGTAGAAGAGTTGGATCATTTATGGCTACACTTTAAGAGGGTCAAAAATCCTCTTTCTTCTTCAGTCACTAGATGACATGTCACTAAGTTATGCAGTTTCTTTGATGTATGTAGATTGTTTCCTATTTACTTCTTTACTGTGAAATACAGATAACTCCTAGTATACTGCTAACCAAGCTGCAGAGGAGATGGGACAGAAAGTATTAATGTCGCAAAAATATAAAAGCCTTGTATAAAACAGGCATTTTCCGTATTTTTATCTTAATAAGGAATTTCTAGCCAGCTGCATCTTCACTTTTGCAATTTTCTGCACCAACTGCATTTGCAGGTTTTTTTTACAAGCTACCATCACAGGAGCACAACAAGCAGTGAAGGGGTCACCTGGCCTGCACACACCTCTTGAAACATTGGAACACCATCCTTCTATGAAGAAAGCAGTCTTCTGCGATTTGGCACCGTGTATATGTGGTGTTAACCGACATTTTGGAGGAATGTATCGCCTCCATCTTCATGGTAGAAGGAAAAATATAAGAAATCCACAAGCGAAGAGACTGTGAGAATCGGTAAAAGCAGCCTCAAATCTACCATCCTTCTAGACTGCTCTAGAGGTGCAGAGGACTTCATCACTCATATCTCAAAGTTGTAATGTGTATGAAGCTGTATCTGCCAAGCTTTGGAATGACAGTCTTAGCCTGACAAGGAATGGTCTGATCTGACATTTTGAAACCAGCCCAGATTTTTTTTTTTCACTCCAAAAGTACACACAACAAAATCCACTGTAAAAATTTTAGCTGCTAATACGCACTGCAAGTATTTTTTAAAAATTGCCGAAGTTACTCATTTTTTCTGTACACAGAACCGCTTGTACCAGAGGTTTGTACAACCCCAGCCTAGGCTGAGTCAGCTGTGTTGCGTGTTGAATACTGCTCTGCTAGGGTGGATATTTCTCAAAGGGTTTGCAGGCTACAATATTGGCCATGTTCAGCAATTTTTAAAAAATACTTGCAGTGCATATTAGCAGCTAAAATTTTGACAGTGGATTTTGTTGTGTGTACTCTTGCAGAGAAAAAAAATCAGGGCAGGTTTTGACATGTTTGATCAGACCATTCCCTTGTGAGTCCAGCTGAGGGCAAGATAGTGACAACATGAGGACAGCATAGTGCAAATGTGCAACCAATGTAGACAGAAGCAGACATAAAATAGTGGATGCTGTGAATCATGAGTTCAGTGCAGGCAGACAGAAGATGGAAAAAAGAGGGTGATGCAGTCACATTATGACATAATAATGAGTGTACAAAGAACTGACATCCAGATCATAAGTGATTTTCTGGGAGCTCTGCTTGCTACCTGCTTAATGCTGGATTCTTGCTTGACCTTATCCTTTGAACATGAAGGATATGTTCCTCTGAAACGTCAATTGATTTTCAATGGACTACACAGTGTTATGCTGTGAGAACCTCAGAGCCTACAAAGATCATGACAGTTGCTCCAAATAATATCACACTACTCACAGCATGTAGTCCATAAAGGTACTGGTGAACCATACACTGCATGCCTCCCTTCCCTGGAGGCACAAAGTGAGTACTAAATGTCTGAACAGAGAATTTACACAATCTGGAGGTGGAAGTGCTTAGCATGCATGCACAGAGCCATTCTAATCTATGACTGAAAAACATCAGCCAGTTCTTCAAAATGTTACAAGCTGGAGTAGAAGGATCATATTCAACATGACTCCATGGTCTAATCCCCTCAGAATTTCAGGCAGTGAAAAAGTCTTATCACATATCTGAGCTCTTCAGATGAGTAGTCTGTTTCATTGTGCATTCTGTGCATGTGACTGACAGATGGGATTTTTTTTGTTATTGTGCTGTATCCTAATTATGATAATGAAAAGGAAGTACTTAGACTTAAATAAAAACCCTGAACTTTTCACCTTTGTGAAGTTGGTGACTTGTCAGAAAGTGAAATAGGAATATAGGTATGGATTGACATTTTCAGCATTGCTCACTATTTCGAAGACGGGCACAAAACAGGATAGGCTAGGATAGGCTGTTCCGTTACAGAAATCTGACATGAAAAGAAATGTGAAATGCAAAAAATGAAGATTTGGAATCCTGCCAGAAAAGACTGGATGCCAATGGACTGAATGGACCTATGATCTAGACAGTAGATATGTCTGTTTCTGCCTTCCCCCCCCCCCTTATCTATCCTCCCTAACCCTGCTTCTGCACCCCACAAATGTCAAGATTAGAGTCTGGCACAGTAGTGAGCAATATGTCACTCTGAAACATCAGTTGTCTTTCAATGGACTACATGGTGTTATATCCCAGATAATGGAATTCTTCATAACCATTGCTGTGAAAACCACAAATACTACACCCAAGAATTAATTTTTTTATTTGAAAGTCCAGTTCTATTTGATCCCTAAATTTCAGACTGACTAGCAGCTTGCTAACTTATCAACCAACAACTTTGGCAATAAAATCTGAAGGTTCAATACTGCTGAAGCCCACTACTGGACATAGTTCTGAGACAGTTCTGTACATCTCTGTTTCTCACAACCTCTTTCACCAAGTTCTAGCTTCTCATGTTTTCAGTCCTTCAGCTGGCCATTTTCCAAGTAATTTCACCACAAAAAATATGTGTATATTTTCTATATCTCTTATACAAGGTACATGTCAAGTGCATCAGCCATATAGAAATGAATCCTTTTTGTCACATCCTCTCTGAATTATACAAGACTCGACTTACACATACTCAACTTTATATAAAACCCTCCAAAAATAGACTTAAATTGCACACAGAAATTTGTATTGGTGGATAAGTGGACACTTCTGACACGGCAGAGTATACATGATTACATATTCCTTTGTAGAGTGGCAGTGTTTTGCAACATCTTCAATTTTTTTTGTTTATTATGAATAGATCAAAAATGTCCATACTTACCATAATGTCTGACACATGTAAAATTCAACTTATATAAGGGATTGCAGAACCAAACCCTTACATAAGTCATGCCCTGTCTCTATTTTCACTTTTTTCTACTACGTATCAAAGTTAAGACAGTGCACAAGAATGCAGGCATATCAAAAATAATATTACATTTAAAACTATGGTCTTCTTGATATCATGCTGAATAATTTGACAGGTTCCTCCAAATCATCGGTACCTATCCAACAAAACCATACTGCAGTGTATCTCAGAAGACCATAATTTTCATGTTCACCATGAGAATCTGTCTCATGAACTACTGTTTTTGCTCAATTAAGAAGTTATCAAGTGGTGGAGCACAGGTACTTACCTGAATTGCAGAGTAAGGCTTGCTTCAGTTCAAAGAAAGAATCATTCTGAAAGGCACGGCCTCTTCGTAGATAATTTTGTGCCTTCTGAAGATGTAACTTTGCTGCCAAAGCACTTAGTAGATGTATAATATTAGTTTCACAGATAACACCTTCAGCTTCTTCTTGTACAGCAGTGTATTTTACTGAACCTTCATTTCTAATGTAATTATTAACAAGTCTGAGGCACCTATGAAACAGGAGGATGTCAGTTTTTAAAGACATGAAACATATCTTAAATATGGAGTTTATATCTTTCATTACTGGATCTCGACTTGCTAATGCCATATAGTGAGTAGAACCTCATTATTTAAAAGTTGAAAAACCAAAGTATATTCTTCTCAGTTCATGTAGGTTAAAAAATATCTGATCCTCTGCGTCCTAGACTGAAATTGCACTTTCTTAAACATAAAATTCAAATACATAAACTGTCATGTCATAATGAAAGTTTTCAGTACAGTGTGATCATCCTTCAGCCTCCCACAAATTGTTGAGCTGTTCGGGTGGAAAATCCTAGTTGAACTGCAGATATTGAGACAGCCAACAGAATCGATAAGCCCACAGTTTAACAAATACAAAATGCACTCAGATTACAACAGTACCAAAATGCTCTCTGTCATTATGCATGTATTCCTTGCACCATTAAAAAATGTGTACATTTACACATTAAAATTCCTTTTCAGAAAGAATAAACTTGAAACTGTGGTCTCCTGTAAAATGTTTCTGAGGGATTTTCTGGTAAAATATTCAAGCCTGGCACTAATTTCATCATTTTTGATTTGGTGGAGTTGAATAACCTTTTGTAATTTCATCGTGTTTTTCTTCACCAAGCATTCTGTGTTTCAAATACTGGAACTTAAGACAGTAAACTTTATTTAAGTTTAGTAATGGCATTTCCTTAATACCAATGGTTTTACTATGACTTGAATTACCAGCATTTCAGATCACTGTGATGTTACTGCATTCCTACATCATACCTGTCCAAGATTTCTGATTCTTCAATTTCATCTCCTTTATGCTTATGCACCTGGGCTAGTAGCATAAGAGCTATCAGATCATCTTCCAAGCACAGAAGACAATATTCCATATCTGTGGAACTGTAACTCTTGCTAGAGTGATAGCTGATAGCCTGTCTGCATAAATGTTGTGCCTGATCCAGTTCATTACTCCTCAGCAGTAATACTGCAGCACTGTGGTATATAACACTGACATGAGGTAGTTGTGCTACAAGGGAAGGAAGAGACTGTAAATCTGGCTGTGTTAGTAGCTCCGTTAACATTTTCCCTGCTGAGCTGTAGTTCTGCAACAAATAAGCTAACATCATTCATACTGTGACTGAAACATCTCCAATGTGTAACTTCTGGTACCTTTCTTACTTACAGAATGAATGAAGCCTTTCCTACTCTCCAACTCTAAAACCTGAAGTCCCCAGTTTTCTTACTAAACAACAAGGAAACATAATTAAATCCCTGTTTAATGTTCCTCAGTTTAAGGCTTCACTGAGCCGAAGTCAATAATCTCAATGTTAAATTTTCTCAATCTAAGATCTTCCTCAGTTTATTTACTTTTAAAATTCTGACTAAATTTCAGTATCTATGGAGACTACCTCTCTGAATAAAACTCCATAGGTGATATCTTCAGGAAAACTACAGTATGTACATTAGAGCCCTGAACACAAAATGTCAATTTTATCGAAGCCTGCTTTACTGGTTACGCAGATTTCATTGTTGTTCAGTATTCAGTAACCAACAATGGTCTACCAAGCACTGATCAATTTCTTTCCGAGGTAACATAATAGTCAATGTTAAATGTATAGAAAGAAGTATGTGCAACACCACTGTCCTGAATTATTTGATGGGTTATGTCTGTAGCTAGACTATACAGTGCATCAGATGGTCAGATGATAGGTGGATTGGAGAGGACTTGGAAACAGTCATGATCTAACTGAGGTACTATCACAGCATTTGCCTGGTGAAACTGAGGACAACCATGAAAAACTTCAGTAAGGAAAGTATGTGTTCCAGCTGAGATTTTAACTACATACCTCATGAATACAAGTCTTACGGCCAGTCCATTTAGCCCCCAGTTTAGTGGTCAGACCCACTACTCTACTGGGGTGGGCACTTCAAATGGAAGTTTTGCCACAGTGGCACCCCCCCCCCCTAATGGGAAACAAAGACACTATATACATGTTCAGCTGTATTAGCACAAAACAAAACAGTCACCTAATACAAGGCTGGAGATATTTGAAAAGTCTGCAGACACTTTCACACACTTCGACCAGCAGTGGAAATCCTGGAATGAGGCTCTTCAGGTGCTTGAACCAGGACAGCAGTAAGTAAACGTGTAGTTGCCAAATGTAAATTGGTTCCTTTAACAGTTAAAGGACCGGTCGCATGATATCATGCTTTTCGTTTTTAAACGTGGTGGACCGGTTGCATGATATCACAATTTTAGGACACATTAGGTTGCAACACACTATACAACAGTAGCTCTGACGAAAATGCGGGTACAGCAAAAAATATAAAAAAAAAAAAAAAATCACACAAATCTAAACCCTGATTCGAAATTGAAATACAAAGCATTTCTGATGAATGTGGCGAAGACCTGGGCTACAGACCAGATGGTGGCGGCAGAATCAGAGTCAGACACAGACTTAGTGCGACTCGGCCCATCAACTCCCACACCACGTAGGCCTCATGTGGACCACCCAGGGCGACTCTCGGGTGATATGCGGAAACATACCCTCGTGAAAATTGTGAAGAGTGAACATTCCAAAGGGAAGCATCCTTCTAGGCAATGCCATGTTTGCACAGTTCACACACACACACACACATACAAAAAAAAAAAGAAAAGAAAGAAAGAAAGAAAGAAAGAAAGAAAAAAGAGGAGTATGACTGTCTACACTGCAAGTTCTGTGTAATGGCACTTCACAAAGGGGAACGTTTCCAGAAATATCACACTCTCAAGCACTTCTAGGAGCATTGGTAAGTGTTCTCCAAAAATTTTAGTTCATAAAATTAATTAGGAGATTTTATATTGATTTTTAAAGTGAACAGTGCAAAAGTTAGGATAGTAGGTTTAATAATGGCGGCCCCAGGGTGATTTAAATATTTAAATCGCCAGTCTGCAATGAGTTAATATGTTCAGAGTCATCTAAGTTACAGTAGTTATTCATGGATATCTACATATCAAACAAATCAAATCATAACCAAACTTAAAATTCATCTGACCTAATTTCAGTATGGTAGTGACCTTTCCTACATATCAGATGTAACGGTTATACCACTATGTATGCCAGGCTGATTACTGATTTCATATACAAAAGTGAACAAGTTTTTTTTAATCATAGGATCCACATTTGCATTGGAAACTGTTACTCTGTTAATTTCATTATTACGCCGTGGTGACAGGGGGCGTGGAGGTAACCCTCCTTGCCACCACTTATTATTATTCTTCTGCGACAGGGGTGGATTGGTTGTCTCACTGCTGTCACTATCTTGTTGGGCCGTAGGGGGGGGGGTCAAGTAAATTTACACTCACTGAAGTAGCTGCCGCCTTGGCATGAGTTTGCAATTCTCCTACAGGATTTGGGAGATGCAGGAAAATTCGGGGAGGACGGTAACACTTGAGGGGAGGCTAAATTCAATTAACATCACAGCGCATTTCTATCCTACTCTATTCACCTATGTTGCTATATACATAATATATACACCATTTGCTGATGTTCGTCGGTTCGTATTACATGTGGGTTATTATCCTGTAGCACGCACATTAGTCCTGCTCCTTTAACATCACAGCGCATTTCTATCCTACTCTATTCACCTATGTTGCTATATACATAATATATACACCATTTGCTGATGTTCGTCGGTTCGTATTACATGTGGGTTATTATCCTGTAGCACGCACATTAGTCCTGCTCCTGTCACCCTGCTATTGGGTATTCTAAGCCTCTGTCTCGCTTTCTCAGAAAACCTAGTCCATCTAGTCTTCACTTTCTCTCCCTGGGGTTTGCACTTTAATATTATCACACTTAATGTTCATGGCTATATGAAGTAAGTCTACTTACGGAGCTGAGGAAACAGGCCGCCATCACCAACCAACAACTACTCATTGCCATCACTCTCTCGGCGATAGCCTATGGCTGACTCTTTGACAAGTAATAATAAAAGTTTTTTGATTGATTCCTCTAGAGTTTATGTACCCTCTTTTTGCTGACTCACTGGGTTCCGGGGATGTATTCACCCGCCCATCCTGACGTGATTTTGGGTCGGTGTGGCCCACTCATTGGCTGTTTATCGTGAGGGGTTGGCTCTTTCAGGTCTAACGCCCTCTCTGACTCAGCGATTTCCTCATGCCATAGTTTTTATGACCCACTTCATATAGCTTCTTCCTCAATGTCAGCATTATTACGCTGTCGTGCTAGCATTCTGATTACAAAGTGATTGTCTGTTACACTTCTTTGCAAACCCAAGCTTCCTGGTACATTTCATTATTTCTATTTCTTAATCTTAAAGTCTAGATACACTTATTCCAAATTTACCCAAAAACATATCTACTTGTACATAACCCTTGCGCCACAACATTTATATTATACTGTTGCATCCTGCTGCACTTCATTCAGAGGGACATGCAGCATAACACAGCAGGTAGAACAATCTGCCACTTAAAATATACATGTGCACAGAAGTGACTGCATAGTGATGACAAAAAACCATGATATGGAAGCATAGTAGTTTTATCATTTATAATTTACAATTTTATAACATTTGATGATGACCTTATAGGTCGAAACATGTAGTGAATAACTTTTAATAAGTTAAAATCTATATAAGATCTAAAAGTTCGTGATGATGGTATATTGCTACAAGTATTATGTTTTTGGATATTATCCATCGTCTTGTCTATTTTTAAAAAACTGTCCTGTTTCTTTTTCAAAACACAACGTTTCAGGGACTGGATTCTGTCCCCCATCCCTAAAAAATAGACAAGACGATGGATAACGTCCAAAAACATAATACTTGTTACACTCTATATGATGTGAATAACATTTAGTGAGTTTTATAGAAAGACGTACTGCACACGAGACTGTGAAATCATTTGATACTGTTAATTTCATGTGAGTGAAACACAGTGGATACCGACAATGTCATCCTGATGCTATGATATCTTTTTCCATCATAAAGTGCAGAGAATGGCTTTCTGGTGTATGTAACACAACTATGCTGCGACACATATAGATACAAACCCCATTTGCAGCAAGCGTTGTTGCCAGTTTGAACAGAGCTACAGGCAGGTTAATTTCTGGTTGTGGATGCAAATTTTTTAAAATCTTCAATTGAATACTGAATGTAAAATTGGTGTGCACAGCAAACTCTTCATCATCATCATTGTCTTTGAGCACCTACAACAGTACATGCATGACTAAGCATTCAATTGTCAAAAGCTGTTTAACAGTTTAATTTTGAAACAAGTGATAACATCAATATTGTCTAATAATTATGAATTCTTCTGTATACTTCCTTCCATCAAGTAATGTTTTACGAATGATTTTTATTGGAAATAGACATTTCCAAAATCTGTTACCCTTACAGGTATCATTTTTCCAGTATAAACCACAGACCTCGCAGAATATTTTGCTTCCTCCATATTTACATCTGACCATGAATAATTCTGCTATGTCTGAATGACATGTGATGTACTTTGGTAGAAAGATACCAACATTTTGGAGGCAGCAGATTCCTCCAAAATGTTTGTGCCTAATAATTATATGGTATCACATTCCAGAAGATTGTAATCTTCATGCATAATCACCCCTTTACATCAATAACACTGAAAGCCTTCTGCAGTGCCTCAAAATTGTTATATAGCATAAGAAATAAAACCATGGGCAAGATGTGATCCATGTTCTAATGTACCTACATTCCTGTTAATGACTCAGTCAATACATTGGCTACAGATTTGATGACCAGATTTCAGTTCCCAGCTGGGGAAAGGATTATTCTCTCTGGCATCACAATGGGTTTGGAACTTACTCAGTAGCCTAACAAGTACTCAGGTTAAAGTGGCCGCAGTATGAAGCTGACCACTCACCTTGATTTGGTCCACAGCATATATAGTCTCACTTTCACTCTCCCACACATATTCATCAATGTAGCGTAGGTGCACAAGGACTACTACTACCTACAACAGAACTGTAATTCACATACTGAACTTCAAAACGGTATGTCCTCTCCACTCACTTGGACAAGGTGCTGGAGCGTGTCTAAGTGATCAGAAAGCAACAGAGCCTGCAACAACTCAGTCTGCCGAGAACTGCTCTTTCCATGATTTTGGACTGTTTCTGCATCAGATGGAGAATGAGCTTTGCACATGCAATGCAATGCCCCATACTCTTCAGCTATGTGGTAAAGTGTTACAGGATAGAAATCCTTCTTCTCTTGTGTATTTTGAAGACCTATTGACAGTGACTTGAAGAACTCTTGCAGAGCTTCAGAATGCCTTCCTTGTTTTGCAAGAAGAGAACCATGCAGAAGATGACCTCTGACTTTCATCTGAGTGCTGAGAGGCACAGACTCCAGTTTAAGCAGACTGAGCAAACATGCTTCTGCATCATTACTGTGGTAGCAGGCATAAGCTGCAAGTTGAAAAAATGCTTCATTAGAAATATAGTCATCTAAGCATGTGCAAGAATGAGATTTTTAGTCTCAGATGAGATCAAGACAAGAAATCAGAAGAATTATGAGAATTAAGATAAGAATTTCCTGTACCAAACTATCCCCCCCCCCCATTGTATTCACAATCTGTAACACTAGCCACTTTTCTATCATGCACTAAAATGATTTTGATAAATAACTGTATTTAAAAAATTTGGAGGGAGACAGATTTTGTTGACTAGTTGATTTGTGGTAGCATTACCAAACATGAAGATTCTGCTGGATCTGGTAATTTGCATACCAGTGCATAAAGCAAAAGCAGTTACCTGAAAATTCTTGAAGTTAAAGACTAAAATCAATGTTAAAATCCAGATTCTCTTCCTCATTTTCATCTAAAAAATCTGAAGTTGACATACTCTTTCAATGATCTGTACATGAAGAGGTACAGAGGCACAGAGTTTAGAAAATGCATGGGTAGAATACTCAATACTCTTCTCTATGCAGACGACTGACTGACTGGCCCATTTCACACAGCTGGTTTCTTGCAGTGTATTAAAAGGAATCAAAGTTTTTAGAATTTTGACACAAATTTCACATTTATTTAGTCTGAGACGATAACAGATCCATACAGAATTTGCTGGATTTGAGGTTCTCACAGCCAACTATGAAGAATATAGTTTTCTGGGGTATAATGCCATGTAGATCGGACACAGCCTGATGTTTCAGAAGAACACACCACCTCTGTCTTCAGGGTCAAAGCATAGGCCATGCAAGAAACCAGCACAAGCAGACAGCAAACCCAGCCTCCTCCTTCTGCTTTCTTGTTTGGCTTATTCTATACCCTTGAAGATGGAAACAATATATTCCTCAAAATGTCAGACTCTCTCTGAACTATATGGCATTACAACCCAGAAGATTGTAATCATTATTCTGAACTTTCTTGAACTTGATTTATTATGTCAGAATGTGTTTATGTTCTTAAGCTTTTACTACTCATCACTGCAGGCAGACATTGTTCAGACCTGCAAGTGGCCCATATTCAGAGGGAATTTTACTACATCTGTCATCAGCCTATTTTATAATGAAAACATCTGAGAAAACCCTGGCAACAGGAGTTTAGGGAGATGAAGTAATAGGGTAATGGAAAAAACAAGGCTGATAATACAATTTGCATACTCCACTACCAGAGTGATCAAAAAAAGGATATGATGGAACATGTAGCATGCATAGGATAAAAGCATTACCGTTGGAAAACCACAAGGAAAGGCGGAACCTGGAAGATCAAGGCACAGATGGGTGGATAGTATTACAATGAATCTTATGAAACATTTTATGAAGATGTGCACCTGACCCATCTTGGAATAGGCTCCAAATGTATGGGCATGATCAAGGCCCAGATTTTGATGACATTACATCTTTTTTTTCCTTGTATACTATGCAATGCCCTTAAATATATAAATCCTGGAAATGAGCTGCTAGTTACAGAAATTTTATAGGTAATTTTTTGTCATTTTTAAGTTCTAGGTTGTTTTTTTTCAGTTTGGGGTATATTTTTTTACTTTTAAGGGCACTTTTTTGTCATTTTAGGGAATTGTTTTTCATGTTTTCTGAAATATGAATAATATGAAAGTAATATAATGGAATATATGGAATATAATGAGCACAGGAAATTCATAGTTGAAGAAGAATTAGAAATCAGTGGAGACTTAAAGTGTAATTAGAAGAATTTATTCATGTGTAATATTTGGAGTGTGTGATTCAGTGAGACTGTTATAATTCCTTTGTTTTAATTGTGTTACCAGGAGAGGACCATTGTGTGTAAATCAGTGTGAGCTGTATTTAAGCGTGACCAAGGTGCTAATAAATGCAATCATCTGAACTAGAACCCATCATTTTTGGCATGCATGCCAACCTACTTGTGTCAATATACTGTATATGTAATTTGAGAAGAATTCTCATCATCATCAGTAATCTGTCAAGACGACAGGTCCACAGTCTCTTTCAAAACAATTCCTCCACTTAATGCGATCTAGAGCTTTCTCCTTCAAATGACAGTATCCTCTTCTGTCCCCAAGGTCATCCAGCATCTTCTTACGTCTTCTTCCTCGTCTTCTTGTCACTTCTATCCGCCCATCTATCTTTCCTTCGATAGCTTCTTTTAGAAGGCAGTTTCTGC